TTTTTAAAAATTTAACCAAACCGAAAAAAATCTAACCTAACTCATTGAGTAATTCAGATTGGTCGGGTTATTAGGTCATATGAACATTCATAATCACGGTATTATAAAATATATAAAAAGCGGGAGAGGAGTGCAGAAGAAACAAAACTTTCTAGAATATCAAAACTCGAACGCCTTATGTTTTGGTCGAGAATATATGATGTCATAATTAATTAATTTAGTTAGGTTAAATATTATTAGTGACATGAATTTAGACAATAATGCTAAAGTACGTTGAATGTTTTAAAATTTTGGATAACCAAAAAATAAATTAAAGAAAAATTTGAAAAGTGGGGCCCACTTGAGAGCGTTTAATTTCATTATCAATAGCGTGGGAAATGGTAGAACCCAATATTATTTAAATTTTGATGATAAATGGCAAAAGATTTTTTTTTTTTTTTAATGTGCAATTATTAATTTCCATCCATAATTATAAACTTTTTAATTTAAAGTGGCGAAAAAAAAAAAAGTTCAGACACATTCATGTGATACTCAAGTATGTTAGACGAACACGACTCTCCACAATGATATGATATTGTCCACTTTGAGCATAAGCTCTCGTGGCTTTACTTTGGGCTTCCCCAAAAGGCCTCATCCCAATGGAGAGAGTATTATTTGTTTATAAGCCCATGATCATTCCCTAAATTAGTCGATATGGGACTTTCATCATCCAACAGAGTAAAGAAAGATTACATGAATGAACCGAGACTACATCCGAATAAGAGCGATCTTGAAAACAGAATAACTAAGAAAGATTTAAAAAAAAATTTAAAGTCACTATCTATATCAATAAGGTGACCCTGCAGTAGCTCAATTATAAGAATTTTATAATTGAATGTGTTTTGTTCAGAGCAATCTATATTCGTGACACTTCAACATCAATTGACTGTCCAATATTTAAAACTTAAAAATAATATTGTAATTTTTAAAAAAAAATTAAAAGTATTTTATATATATATATATATATATATATATATATAATTTAGGTTTTTAATATAATTATCATCACTATTCACTAGGCATTTTTTAATTAAAAAAAAGGAAAAGAAAGGAATAACATCATTACTAAAACATAGGAATGTTGAAAGATGCTTTTTTTAATTCATAATTATATCACCCAATAATGTTACAACATCAATTGCAACCAACCCTTCTTCATAATTGTTCATGAAATTTTCAATTTAAAAAAAACCCTTAATTATGATTTGATTTATATTCATATAATTTTATAAAATTAAACGTATAAATTATTGGATTTTGATAAAGTATGCGAAGCACGAGCCATTTTTATTAAAATAGTTTGTAGTAATCATAGCTATATCATCCATCGTTATCTCTCGAATGAAACAATTCAAACACGTCTAAAGTCATAGCTTTTAAGTAAATTTCATTCCGTTGTCTAAAAAAAAATCTTTTTAAAGAGACTTTTCCCTTTTTCCTTCTCTCGAATATGACACTGAGATTTTGACGGTGATAATATAATGAGTACGATGAAAAATCTTTTGGGTATTTTATAAATTTAATCCCGACCCTTCTACTTTAAAATATGAGCGAGATTAACTTGTTTAGTTTTCACTTTACAGCATTTGCCAAGCTCATTGCTAGTAGATGTTATCCATTTTGATCTGTTACGTATCGGTGTGAGTTTCACGATTTTAAAACGTGTCTAATAGGAAGAGTTTTTCACACCTTTATGAAAATGTTTCGAGAAAAGCTTTCAAATCAAATAATGGTGGCATAAAATAAAAGAATATTGTAATTATTAATAAATTTGAAAGAAAAAAAAAAACAGAAAAAGGTTGGATGTCGGATAAGGCGGGCTGATGTCGTGTAATATAGAGACAAGAGATTTAAGAGACAGCCGACAAGTCGAGGTGCATGAGAAACACGCGCTCTCTCAAATAGAGTTGTTTCTTGGAGTTTTGTCTTGAAACACATCAACAACCACCTAGGGTTTTGCTTTTATTTTTTTCTTTTCCTAATGGAAATGTGACATGTTTGAAATATTTTATGTGAAGAATCTCTTGTTATAAGGAATCAAATTAGCTAATTAAAGATACGTTACGTATTTTATATACCTAACACGATTCGTAATATCTTTCGTTTTATTTTTATGTATTTTTTTCAATTCATTATGGTCCCGATCCATCTGTACAGCTAGATCTCGTACCTATCTAAATTTAGTATTAGATGATTGTACCCGTTTTTTTTTGGACATGATAACGGGAGTTATAAGCACGTTCAATATGATGAATGCTTAGTTAAATTATTGCATTGTATTCACATTTCAATGGGAAGTGCACGTACTAAAAAAACTCTAATCCTTAAAACCCGTCTTTTCTCTTTCTTTAACGTACCCAAATAGAACGTTTCATCAAACTAGTACACTAAATAACATTCGAAAAGATCGTTTAATCAAACTGTATGAACTAAAATAAAACATAGATCTAAACTTTCATATCGATTTTCTCTTAAAATCTCAACCACGTCTTCGCTATCACAAGAATATAACGATCGAATAGCTATCGCTCGCTCAGTTGTTTCACGTATTATGAAAATCGTATTGTCGGAAAGAAGGGGGCATGTTGCAAGAGCGGAGGCGTGCCCATAGGGCAGTGGCAGCTGTTTGGTTCCACGTCGTTGTACACTTAATTACAAAGACATAGAAAATCTTCTTTCCGTATACGACAAAAATCGAAGGGGTAAGTCCAAACAATGTGTACTTATTATGCTGATTCTGTCTCGTGTCTTTAACTTATTATAATCAGGCTTGCATGGATACAAAAGTGTTCGAGATAAATCTACGTCAATCCCAACTATATCAAAGCTTTTACCTAAATAACTTTAATTAGTATCCACTCACATTTTTCTTTTGCTAGGTCCATAGCTAAAAAACCAGTTGTGGCTGGCCCAACAGTTTTTAGAATGCCGTTGTCGTGATGTTGATCTGGTTTATGCGACTACGGTATCTGCGTAGCTCCGAATACGCGCATTAGAGCTCTTTGCTTAATGTCCCGGGTCACTTGTAAACCGTGTTCGTATCAAAATCTCATGCAAAATTCATAATTAAATTGAGAGAGAGAGAGAGGAGCGTGGGAGAGAGGAAGAAGGTGTGGTAGGCAACAAAGGAGACCAAACAAGAAATGTTAGGTCAAATCCATGTCTTACAATTAGCATCTTAACATCATGCAATAATATTCCATATGCTGCAAATTCAATTCAAGATGAGCTATGAGCTCTAGTTCTGGCCGACAATACAACTTTTAACATAGGACCCATGTTGTTTTGTTCATGTTTGGTTTTATATGCATTGACCTAATAATTAATCTCCATCTCGTCTATATTTTCTCTTAATTATTCGTCTAAATAGCTACCACATGATCGGTATTGTCATTAAAGTATTTGTTAAAAAATGGACAAAATTGTTCAAACTTCTATTAAAGTTGTTATGATGTAGCTTTCCGTCGTTTAATTTGGTCAATTATGCTTTTAAACGTAAAGAAGGTATGATTTGATAGCATCAAATACGTTGTGATGCAATACCGAGGTAATATGAAATTATTTTTTCTTTTATTACATTTAGTGTAATTTTATGAGTAGTATATGTTACCTCTCGAGAGCCTAACGTGTAGCCCAAACTAAAGTACGACATGTGTCTTTTGTATGTCTGAACGCGTTTTGCGCTCCTTCGATCGCCGTATGTTCTTTGTTTAACCCACCTGCAATTTCCACATTTCAAATTTTCGATTATGAGTGATTCGATCCAATTTCTTTTGATATTTGTAACTTCTGATTGATAATTCGAAACAATTTGATTCGTTCTCGAGAGTTGTAGATCTTTGTTCCAACATTCTAGATGTAATTTTCTTATAATTTTTAAGCAATTACAAATCATAATGTACGCAATTAAACTTTAAGGTTTGTTCAATTTATCGAAACTTGAGGCGTCTCGAAACTCTGATTTCTGCTTCGATTCTTAGCCAAGTTTTTACACGGAATATGTGAGATTTTGCACCTAAGGCAACATTTCGAAATCTCAAATTTTAGCTCTCAAGAACACTCTCGAATCTAGGAAAAAACCAAATTTCAAAAAATCCATAGAACTTACCTTCGTTCTTCCTCAGTTGGCCCGAACATCCTAACCTCTTCTCCTTAATCCCGTGAGCATTTCTTATGGACAAACCTTCATCAAAATTACCATTTTGCTCCTTCGTTGACTTTGACCCAATTTTTTCTAATTTTTTTTAGCATTTTTTGTTTTATTTTTCTAGGTCTTTGGAGGTATCCCGAACATTTTTCAATTCTATACCTTTGTGAAGTTCAACCTCTAAGACACTAAATAAAATATCGGAAGTACTAAAGGAAAGTTAGGAAAACTGACTTACCTGTCGAGCTCGGACATTACACTAGCCCAAATCGGTTCATGCAACCTAGCCTAATACCATACTCATGTTTATTCACTAGGTTCAGTTTGTTCACCAATCCAGTTCGACCTTTTCGGTTCAATTTTCTCGGGCCTACGGTTAAGTCAAGTCAATAGGTCAAGGTCAAAGTTTCATGACTCTCTTAAAGTCCCTACCTATACTTCCCATTTTAAGCAATTACAAATGAAACATACAGAAGTGGTGTGTACCCAATAAGGCCCGAAAATTATTAAAATGGTTTGAGCCCTAACGGGTCCTATGCGAATGAAGCATACATAAAAGGGCGGGCTAGGCTCGATTCCAAGACTAAGGTTTTAAGTCCGACTAGGAAGAATTCCATTAATGCACAGTTCATTAACGCATAGTTCAAATATCAAAATATAATATCTGATACAACAAGTGAAAGGAAGAAGAGGAACTCTTAAAACTTTTTCGGCCGACAACCCGAGGTACAAACACGAACATAGTAAAATAAGAATCTTAGCTGCTATCCGTAACGAAAATGGGCACGAATAGTAATGAAAAGTGAGAACAAGATTCGTTCGAGATCGAGATCATTTGAACCTCTATAGTTTATTAAATACAAAAGAATTTGATGAATCAATTACACTAAGAAAATTAGATTGGATTATGGGTTAGTCTAAACACCTCCTAAATCAAATGAAGTTAGGCAATTGAATAAGAACTACACTAATATCATCCACTGAGCCTCTTGAAAGTGATAGCTCCACGAGCTTTTTACAGGCCTCCAATGGCGTTGCCTTCTCAATCCCCACGCATAATGGGCGCACGATGTCCACTGCTTCTTGATTGCTCACCTGAAAATCAACCAAACCCAATTCAATACAATGAAGAATTTGCAATCAAACAGGTTCCACACCACTTTAGATCGATCGACCGACGCTTACCGTTTCCCATAACCCGTCGGAGGCTAAGATCAAGAACTCGTGTCGAGCTTCGATCCGTATCGACGTTGTCTCTGGCTCTGCTATCACCCATTGTTTCAAGTGAGCATCTCCAATCCCTCTTGTTACAGCTAGAGATCCTTGGACTCTCCAAACGCCATTGCAGAGATCAACATATCCACCCTGAAGAACACAATGGACAAACAGATTCAATTTTCATATTCACATTTGATTAAGGAATGAATCATTATGATTATGATGTTCTTCCTGTTCTTACCCTCGACTCGATTCGCTGTCTTTCGTCTTCTCGAGACGGGCGGTGGTCGGAGGTTATGGCTTCTGCGACGCCCTTGCTGCTAAGAACGGCACGGCAGTCACCGGCGTTGGAGATAATAAGGTTGCCTTTCTTGATCAGGGCTGTTACACAACATGACCCACCGCGTTGATCTTCCTTGAGGAAATCAGAATCTGTGGTGAGGTAGCCATGTTTAATGGCTTGTTCATAGTCAGCTATTCTTTCAAGTTCGTTCATTATGTTCTTCTTTAAGTTATTTGCTGCAAATTCTGCCGCCTTTGAACCGCCATGTCCATCAAATACACCAAAAAATGCCTGTGGAAATCAAGAACAATTACAGAAAATTAAGTCCAATTTGCTCATTTGTTAACGTTCCTTCTAATTTCTGATGCAAAAACTCAAACCCCAGAAGCTAAAATTGAAAATTTTGATGCAAAAACTCAACCCCAGAAGCTAAAATTGAAATTTCTGATGAAAAAACTCGAACCCAGAAGCTAAAATTGAGATTTTTGATGCAAAAACTCAACCCCAGTAGCTAAAATTGAAATTTTTTTATGTAAAAACTCAACCCCAGAAGCTAAAATTGAAATTTCTTAAACAATTTACCACTTTAGAATCGCCACGAAGATCAACAGCGGCTGAATACCGATCTTCCATGGAGATTCTCCGCCTCCCTCTCTTGCAATAAACAGAATACCCATCTCTCTCGGCCTCCATCACGTCCCCGAACGACGACGACGGCGACGCCAGAGCTCCAAAGCTCAACGGCGTCAACGGAATATCCAACCTCGCTGGTCTCTTCCTCTTCGTGATCGAGTTGGACGACGTCGGAGACGAAGTAGAAGAAGTGGAGGCCATTGGCGCCACGGCGGAAAGCCCAGAAGGGGGCTTTGGAAACCTAATCCAAAAAGGGGAAGAAGGGGAAGACGGCGAAGACGAGCAAGACGACGAAGGCTGAGACGACTTCAAATGAGCCAACGTCAGTGTTAGAGCTTCCGGCGCCGGAGAAATGATCGCCGCCTTGTTGCAGAACATCGAGGACGAAGGGGAAAACCCCGGCGAATTCGAAACGGCGACGGAGACGGACATATTCCGATCTTCTAGAGAAAACCCAGATTCAAAAACACGAAAAAACGAAGACCCAGATGTGAATTTTGTTTCTGTTCTTGAAATTGAGATGAAATTTGAAGGATTTGGATATGGGAAAAATGGGAAGAAAAAAACAGGGGAATATAAAGGGAGAACGGCTCGCGCGTGTCGTGTTTTTTTGATTCCGTGTTAATAGCGGGGTAGGCCAGTTGGATTTGGATTTATTCTTGACGTATTTTGACTAATATTCGTTTTTATTTTATGTGAAATACCTAATTTGCCCTTTCTTTGCAACTTGTGTTCATACATACTTGTTCGAGAAATCTTCTAGACCAACTAAAAAACTTTGAACGGGTTGAGTTGGTCGGGTTATTTTATTTATCTACAATGCATGTAACATTAAAAAGTAAAATTTTATAAACCTCGAGTATCAAACATTCACAAGTCATAATACATCACTAACATCGATCACAAATATCAAATATTTTTAATCTTCCTCTAAATATTCTTTATTATATATAAAAAATATTATTCTCGTTTTTTTTTTAATTATGAACAAAATTGAAGTTAAGGAGTCAAGATTTAGGGGGTAAAAAGGGAATTAGACTTAGAAAGGGGAGGGGTAAAAAGGTAATTAAAGAAAAAAGGAAGTCAAAAGTTATAAACAGAGAGTTATTTTTCAAAAGTGAAATTTAATGATTCTTTTGACTGAAATAAAGAAAATAGGAAGTGTGAGTGAACGCAGCAAATGACAGCTGTCCCTTTGTGGGTCCCGCAGATTAAGGACAGTTCTGCGAAGTTACCGTTATAAGGACTCAATGAGGAAGGGGTATTTCTGTAATTTCAATTGTGTTTTTTTTTTTATCTTGAGGCGACCGTTGAACATGACGTCATGAATCTCAACGTCTCTATCACATGCAACGCAGCGTTTAATGCTTATCTTCTTCTCTCCGTGTTGATAAGGAAATTGAGACCATATTTGCAATACAGCTAATGTTTTGTTCGTAAATACAGCTAATGTCTTGTTCCTAAAAGTTAAGATTTGTCAGATATTTTCGAGTCTATATCTAATAAATCTCTAAATGTTTAATTTACTTTAATTTATAAATTCGTAAATATTTCAGCTCGAGGGTGTTTGACAGAGACACAGCAACGAAACATGCACGGTTGGCAGAGTCAAGTGTCTTTGAGTGTGCAACATGAGCCTCGTTGAGTATAAAATGTTGCAATGTTGACTCCTAACTTGGGTTGGCTTGAGAACGGTGGGGTCTAGGTGCCTTCGGGCGTGCAACATGAACCTTGTTGAGTATGGGACGTTGTGGTGTTGCTTCCCAACCTTGGGCAAGCCGTATGGTAGAGAACTTAAGGACGTATTGAACAAGATAAGTAAAGTACAACGAACGTAAAACTATTTTGCAATGGTGCCCCTACACTACGAATAATCTATATTCCTCCATGAATTACATCAAAGGAGAGGGAAGAGAATAAATTTGAGTATGATTGAAGAATAAGATTGATGATCTAAAAGAACAAAGCAGTGTAAAATAATTGGTTCCAAGTATCAGGTAACCCAGGAAGGCACCAATGGCTACAATCAGCTGATCTACCAGGGTTAGCCCTTTGCTCAGGGCTCAAATCACCACTGTAAATGGAAGGGTGCCCATCTTTTCTTAGCTCAGATAGCATTGTTATGTCCAACAAGTACACTGGATTCCTCATGTCATTTAGCACTTCATCCACAACCCTCATTTGAATTGGGTACCCACCCGGGTACGTCATCCCCCCCATCGGTGTCGTTTCGCCATAGCAATTCTTTGTTGTTGTCATCGTCGAAGTTGTCCCGGTGTTCCATTCGGATGGACTGTTCGGATAATCACAACCATGAACAAGTTTAGTTGCATATAACATTTTAACCGTTCATTCAAACCAATGATATGAACAGACAGAAAAGAATAAGTGGTATTGCAAAGAGGGAAAGGGAATTGACTACGTCAAGAAGAAAAAAATCTTGATATCATTAGTTAGGCATTAATGACAATAATGAATGGAACGATCCAAGCCCACAACCAGCAGATATTGTCGTATTTGGAGAGGTTTTCACACCCTTATAAAGACTGCTTTGTTCTCCTCCCCACTGACCACTGATGTGGGATCTCACAATCCACCTTCTTCGGGGCCAGCGTTCTCGCAGACACTCGTTTCATTCTCTAATCAATATGGGACCCCCCAAATCTACCCCCTTCGGGACCCAGTGTCCTTGTTGGGACACCACCTCGTGTCGACCCCTTTTTGGGGCTCAGCCTTCTCATTGGCACATCACCCAGTATCTGACTCTCGTAATCTACTACATATATTATTCTATTACACCAATTGTTACAGTGCCAATACATCTGCTAGAGGACCATGGAAGTTGGTTGGGCCTACATCATAGGCCGATCTACATGATCTAAAAACCTAGCGCTCCGATACCATTTGAGATAACAGATCACATACTAATACTTTATTAAATAAAATAAGAGCTAAACCTAAGATGACTTATGTTACCAAATTCAGGGAATAAGACATAATGTTGGAAAATGCTTTAATTTCATATCATTTTCAATTCAGGAAATTAAGATAAGCCAAACGTGGGACCATGAAGCTTCAAAGAAGCATCCTTATTGACAATTTATGTTTCCCTTTTAAATTGAAAATATCTTGCAATAAATATATATATTCGTTTATATATACAATTCTCAAAATTGGTCTGTCCCACCGACACCTTTGGATTATGTTAAAGTTGTGAAAGATATTTTCCTCCTCGGGGTAAAATTGTCTTTTCCTTTTTTTTTTTAATCTCATTTTCGTCCTTCCGCTTTTAAAACATCTATTTAATTAGACATTTTAAAAGTTCGTGGACCAAGATGGAATAAAATTAAAAATTTAATAACCAAAATAGACACTTCGAAAGTTGAATGGTTAAAATTGGATAAACTTAAAAGTTCAGAGGCTAAAATATAATTATTTTTTATTTTAGAACGTGAAAGTGGTTATTCAAACTTCTAAATTACATGCCTAAAGTTCGAAGTTTTTTATATAATTTTTATGATTTATTTATTATTATTATTAGACACTCAAGAACCAAATAGATACAAATGTAAAAGTTTAGAGGCTAAATTTGTAATTTTTTCAACTAGTAAAACTAAAATGGCTAAAATGGTAATTATCTACCGTGAGATCTGAAGGGATAACGAGAAGAACCAAATAGATACAAATGTAAAAGTTTAGAGACTAAATTTGTAATTTATTCAATTCATAAAACTAAAAGGGCTAAAATGGTAATTATCTACCGTGAGATCTAAAGGGATAACCAAACTTTAGGGACTGAACTTGTAATTTAATGGACTCCTAAAACTAAAAGGGCTAAAACTAAAAGGGTTAAAATGATAATTATCAACGGTGAGATATGAAAGATTAACCAAAGTTTAGAGACTGAACTTGTAATTTATTGACTCTAAAACTAAAAGGGCTAAAATAGTAATTATCTACCGTGAGATCTAAAGGGATAACCAAAATTTAGAGACTAAACTTGTAATTTACTTGACTCGTAAAACTAAAAGGGCTAAAAAGGTAATTATCTACGGTGAGATTTGCAGGGATAACCAAAGGTTAGGGACTGAACTTGTAATTTGTTCGACTCGTAAAACTAAAAGGGCTAAAATGGTAATTATCTACGGTGAGATCTAACCAAAATTTAGAGACTAAACTTGTAATTTACTCACTCGTAAAATTAAAAGGGCTAAAAAGGTAATTATTTACGGTGAGACTTGAACGGATAACCAAAGTTCAGGGACTGAACTTATAATTTATTCGACTCATAAAACTAAGAGGGCTAAAATGGTAATTATCTACTGTAAGATCTAAACGGATAACCGAGAAGAGGCTAAGCGAGCATGGGAACAAATTATTTGTAGGGCTCCAAGCCAACATTCAATAATGGAGGAAAACAATAAAGACAGAAAAAAAAAGAAGACTTACTTGTAATGAGTGGGAGAGATAGCTTGGAAGAAAACCCTTGTTGTAGTAACATCAATGTTCTTATCAACCCAATCAGCCCATGTTCTTAGACCCTTCTCCATTGCAGCCAACCGATCCATGTCTTGGTAATATGATCCTCCAGATTCCATATAATCCCACCTGAAACAAACACAATCAACACCGTTCATCACATCAAGATCAGATCAGATCATATCAATCAAGATTTCAAGTTCAATATCAAACCCTTGCAGAGAGCCTGTGTGGCTCCACCAATGGCCAGTGTTGAAGGATATCACATCAGCTCCTTTCCAAGCATTGCCATTCACTGATATCTCCTCTAGCTTCAAGATTCTCTTCCCATTTTCTATTTCTATGTCCACAAGATATGTAGCTTTGTAATAGTTCAAATTTAACCCATATTCCTGCATAAATGACTTAACTCTGTCAACCAAACCGAGCTGAAATGATATCAATTATCGTCTTAAAGGTTGATTAGTTTATGGTTTATTTTCAAAAACAGCAACGGATTTGGAGTTCTAATACTAAAATGCAATACCCAATAGAGATTAAGACTTTGTATCACTAGAGCAAGAGATTTCATCCAAATCAAGCAGAAATGGTATTAATTATGGTCTTAAAGGTTGATAGTTTATGGTTCATTCCCAAAAAAACAGCACCGGATTTGGAGTTCTAATCCTAAAATGTCAATACCCAACAGAGATTAAGGCTTGGTATCACTAGAGCAAGAGATTTCATCCAAATCAAGCGGAAATGATATCAATTATCGTCTTAAAGTTGATAGTTTATGGTTCATTCCTAAAAACAGCAAGGGATTTGGAGTTCTAATCCTAAAATGTCAATACCCAACAGAGATTAAGGCTTGGTATCACTAGAGCAAGAGATTTCATCCAAATCAAGCGGAAATGACATCAATTATCGTCTTAAAGTTGATAGTTTATGGTTCATTCCTAAAAACAGCAAGGGATTTGGAGTTGTAATCCTAAAATGTCAATACTCAACCGAGATTAAGGCTTGGTATCACTAGAGCAAGAGATTTCATCCAAATCAAACGGAAATGATATCAATCATCATCTTAAAGGTCGATAGTT